AAATTTTTAAATTTTCCGGCTTTTTTTAAATTGCTCCTATTGTGCAATTTTTCATCAAATTCTTCCACTCTTCAAATTCTTTATTTCCATCTGATTTTTAAAACTCTTTTGGTTTATTTGTTTATTCAAATTCTTCAAGTTTGTTAGATTCCACAAATCGCCCAACTTATTCAGATTTTTTCATTCTTTTGTTTTTTCAGGTTCTTCGCATTCTTGACCTTTTCAAATCTCATGCGATTTCATTCTGAATTTGTTTGTCAAATTCTTCCTGTTATGCGATTTTTTAAATTTTTACAAATTTTTCCGACTCTTTCAACTCCTTATTTCCGCCTGATTTTAAGTTTTTTTAATATCCTTCAGATTGGTCCTTATTCAAGTTTGTCTAATTCTTAATTTTTTTTTCTTCGTGTTTCTTTTTTGATTTTTTTAAATCCCATCAAATAAAATAAAGAATTTTTCAGCAATTATGTATTTTTAATACTGTACGTAAATCTAATTAAGTGATTTATTTATTTGCGTAATTAAAAACAATTATAGGTATCTATATTAAACAAAAAATTTATAACAGTCTTGAAATGGATTAATTTATAACAGTAAATTGTATCACTCATAATTTATAACATAACACCAGCCCGACCTATTTACCTATTTATCACTAATATTCACTATCAGCATCAACGTTGTAACGAACTCGAAACAATTCGATTTGCCTATAGCAACCAAATTGCTAACACTCCGCCCACTATAAAATAAAGGCAATAAAATAAAAAATAATCTTTTTAGAATGGTTTCAACTACTCCCGAACAAACACATATTTCCTGGAAAGGATGCGTAATATCCACCTTAGCTTTTTATCGCTAATGACTAATTTTTCATGGCGCTTCGATGTCTTGGTATTTCTAGAATATTCGCTACAATACCTTTTGCCGTACTACAAATCCAAAAAATGAGATTAAATCATATCTTTGGCCGAATTTACACTTAGTGAGGGTTAAAATTAAAAAAATTATTATTAATTAAAAAAAATCGTTGCAATTAAAAACAACAGAACATATAAATGGCTTTTCGTTTGCACCAATAAATTCTATTTCGACGACTAATGACAGTAAACTACAGTTTACGTTAACAACTGTTTGTAAACACCCTGTATACTGCAATGTACAATGAATTTTAATATAGCTTCTGCTCATATACTTACTCTTCCTGATGATGTCTGCCTCATTTCCCAACCGGTAGGTAACTGTCCCAACTGATCCAGAGCAAATCCCCGCGACGCCAAATCTTTGGGTATTCGTGGATCGTGCCATGTTGACACACCAGTCGGAATATGATAAAAATACACTTGGCCCTGCTGTGTCGTCCGCAACTCTAAAATAAATTCGTAACGCAAATGTAGAAGACATCGAGCGTTATTCACCGTAACCGACGGGCAAATCTAATTTATTTGGATCACCGACTAGCTGTCCTTGAAGCGCCGCAATTTGGACGCCATTTAACGATGCGCGATTGCGTGCGGATCGACGTCGACCTCCGCTGTCGCCGCCGCGTCTTTCCTCCAAACTGCGTTGTCTCCGATCCTTCGACCGTCCATTCGTATTCTCTGAATTGGACAAATTAGGGACGTTACAACTAATGTTGTTAGGTGCCGGAACGACCGTACCAGATAGAAAATTTAACGGTTGAGAGAAACCGTCACTGGGCGAGGAGGATCCGGTACGCAGCGGACTCGTCTGATCCTTTTCAATATTTGCACCATTGGTTACGGGCGACGTACTACAACTCGGCCTTATCGGCGATTGCACCTCGTCCGTATTATTATTAACGCTATTATTATCGACACTATTATTATTGCTTAAATTTGTATTATTTATATTATTATTATTGCTACGAGGTGTCGCACGATTCTTCGCGGAAACGTGCGGTTTCAACCACTGAGTCGTTAAAGTTATGTGGTTCACATAGTACAAACGACCGTTGGGCGTGCGCCGCTCTTCCCAGCCTGGCGGCAGCTCGTCTTCTTGCGGCGACAATTCCCGACTCGCCGGCCCTCTGAGTTCGCCTAACGGACCCACTACTGCCAACGGCGTACCGCCGCATGGTCCGTCGCGCGAAAGCAACGAAATTATAATCTGTCCCTTAACCGGCTCACTATCATCTTGGGATGCTTTACACAGATCCAAACGTTGATCTGCAAATAGTGAATGAAGAAACAGATCGGATTAAAGCAAATTTCAGCAAAGATAATAAGACACTAGAGAGACAATGCTAGACTTTTTCATAATTCACCACAATTTTTACCCTGCAATCTAGTGACTCATTTGATCCGATAACTAAGCAAAGATCTTGGTGTATAAACAACATCGTGTAGCGAGGCCTACGATACTTATAGGCCGGAGTGCTCGAAAAAGTCACGTGACCTTAGGAGTCAGTTCGGGACACATTAAATTACACTGCGGCTTATGGAAAACCCGTGCGCGGCTCCACTATTTATTTTTTTACTCTGAATCCGTTTAACATAGAGCCACGAAATCTCAATGAGAGCTGGTCAATGGTACAGACAATTAAATTATAGTGTTTGTTAATTTTTAATTAACACTGGAAATAGTTAATTTTAAGGTTTAAAGTCTTTGAAGATAAAACGACGAGTAAATCCGTGTTTTTCTATATTTCCACAGTCATATTTCTGTTTCTAGGAACGATATCATTATAATTCTTTCGATGTCTTAAACTAGAATGATATGCGTATATAATGCCTTGTCTGGTATTAGTATAGATTTCACAAGCTTTACAAAATCGCGCATTAATTATCCGCGCAGAGCAAAATTCACCATCCGAGAAACTTTTTTATTGTTAGTAGAATTGTATCACATATATCGAATGAATTGTAACCAAAGGACACAAAAATGTTTTTCAGAAGGAATGTTTAAGAAATGGTCTTTTGTTCCCTTTTTTCAGCAGTTTTAGTAACTTCCGGAACACGCGAACGCTCAATGGAAATTATTAGTTTTTAAATAATTATTACTAATCGACTTTCAAATAATGTTTGTAATATTTAGAGACCCATTAAACTCACAAAATTAAAAATATTATATACAGGGTGAGTCAAAAGTATGGAATATATCTTATATCTTCGTTAATATTAGTTTTACATTATAGCTTCCGGAAATTCGTGTTTAGAACAATTCGCTCCTGTAGAATTCTTTAACAGAGTGTGAGTTTGTCTAATAATTTTTAAAGCTTATTCCCTAGGAGGTGGCTGGTGTACAACCATTTCTTAAAAATTCCTTAAAAAACAGTTTTATGTCCTTTGGTCACATACCATTCGATATTATATAATACAATTGTTCCAACAACAAAAAAGTTTCTCGCATGGTGAATTTTGCTCTGCGCGGATAATTAATGCGCGATTTTGTAGAGCCTGTTAAATCTACACTAATACAAGATAAGACGTTATATATACGCATAATTGGAGGCGCATATATCATTCTAGTTTAAAACACCGAAAGAATTATAATGAAATCGTTCCTAGAAACAGAAATATGACGGTGGAAATATAGAAAAACACGGATTTACTATCGTCATTTTATCTTCAATGGCTAAACCTTAATATTACTATTTCCAGTGTTACTAAAAATTAACAAACACTATAATTTAATTGTCTGTACCACTGCCCAGCTCTCATTTCATTTAAAATTTCGTGGCTTTATGTTGAACGGATTCGGAGTAAAAAAATAAATAGTGGAGCCGCGCACAGATTTTCCATAAGCCGTAATGTATTTAATGTGTCCCGAACTGACTCCTAAGGTCACGTGACTTTTTCGAG